AGCATAAATTCGCGATATCTTTTTAATAATAGATATTTATATATAAAGAGAATTTAAATTGTTTCATTCTGAGACGTACATCCGAAAATCCAAGAAAATTCTTATAGCATATTGATAATTCTTATAGCAGGGTTGATATACGATAAGACTGTTCCCGACGCGCGCGTTCTACGTGGGGTTTTTAGACGTATGTCCCAGAATGAGATAATTTAAATTCGAAGCACTGCGGATTCCATGTGAATTTTAATGATGTTCTAAGAGGATTCCTGATAACTTTCGAGCATGAACGACGGTGTCCCTTTACGATGAGTCTGTTCCAGAATCTTGAAGTGCGTGAGCCTTCAGGTAATGACGAAGGCAAGAAAGAGAGAGAGGGAAAAGGGGAAAAACTCGTGGGGAATGGGCAACATTACGATCATATCCTTTCCCAAAGATGGGATATAAGTTAGCGAGTGAGTTTTTTCCCAATAATTCGAGAAATTGTCCGAGAGCGGTGTTTTTGCTTCAGTCTTATTCTAGAAGAACGCAGCTCTTTGAAGAACTCTGCTCAATTTTTGCTACGTCTCTCGCGAATCATTCGTGGCGGTTTCGTTGTCCCTTCAAAATGTGTCTCGACGTTATATCTATGGCGCTCCATATGAAATTCGCAAGTATCCTAGAATTCACGACGAACAAACGACTTTACGAGATTTCTTCGAGATCACGTTCAAGTACGGATCCCTTTTCACATAAAGACATCCATTTTATTACGGGTTCAAATACGTTCAGCAAAAAGCATAAATTGTTCCTCAAAGAGATTACGTGCTTCAAGGGAAAAAAACATAAAGAAAAAAAAAATACGCGACTCTTTAATGTTATACATATGAAGTTTTGCACGCGAAATTAATCATGTTTTTATAATTTCAAAAAAGTATTAATACATTGATTAATAAAAATAATACTAACAATAAATATGTTCAAAAATTAAAAATTAACAAGGGAAGAAAATGAAAGCACAGTATAATTATTCTATGCATCATTACTCAGATAAAAATAATAATAATGGATTATTTTGTAAATTGATTTGAATCGAATCGGAGAAATTACTTAAGATTGCTGGAAACTTTTCGCGCGACTTTGGAGCGATTCGTTTGAAAAACGGCCGAAACTTGTCCGCGTAGGAGCGTAATAATAAAGAAAGACTATTACCATCTCTCGCGCTAGTCGCTGAAAAAGTGTCGTATCATTCAAATATGGGCCCGCATTAAATTCCCATCTCGCCGATGCCAGCCGCCCGTATATCATTCCGCATCAGGAAAAAAAAGACGTGCGACCGACGTCGGATTCGAGCCATTACGTGTAAAAAGTGGCGTCTGGGCGGTTTTCAGCGCTGCCATATGTCACTATATCGACCGCGATCGTAGTTTCGGCTCGTATGTTAATAAAAAGGCACACGCACTCAGCCATTGTGTCGGTTGGCTTTATCGTACAATGTCCGGGGTGACTTACGATCGATTCATCGTACTCCGCGGAAGGATGCGAAAAAATCTTGTTTCCACTTTTTCTTTCTCGGACGAGTGATAAAGTTCGTTCATATCGATACCTTTCCTCTATTTTATATAGGAATCGTAAATTTGTATTATTTGCGAACTTATATCGAGCGCTCGTGAAATAAAATTCCCGTAACAAATGCGGACAGGCAGGATGTGCGTGTAATTCACGATCGATCGATATATATATATATATACGTGAGATATATGAAAAAAGCCTCAATTTTCCTTATGCATTTTTTGCATCGGAAACGATAAAACTAGATCGATGTTCTTCTCATTCCTACAAAATCGTAAACTCGAATTATTCGCAAAGTAATACCGAGTACGATTGCGAAATGAAATCGAACGAAGGAATGGAGTAGATAAAAGAAAACTTATCAGAAGCGTGTCGCCAACTTTGTATACTTCGCTCATTCACTTGCGCGAATGGACTCAACAAAATTTACATCGATTGCACGGAAGAAAGAGATAAAAAAAAGATAATGAAAACTTGCAATGGAATTTTCTTTTATTATCGGAAAAATAAAATGCCCTTGCAATAAACTCGTATACATGTATATCGGGATGATGCATTCATATATCATGCTATCAGTAATTAAATTATATAAAAAATTTTGTAGCATAATAAAAAACAATCATTATTTATAAAATTCTTATAATCATAACTTATCAATCATTCATCGATAAACAGACATTTAGAAACATTATCGATAAACAGAGGCGTTATTTATTATTATTAATAGTTATTAACTTAATTAGTATTAACATTTGTTTAATTAATGCATTATTTTCTGAATCAATAATACGAATATTTTATCCTGTCAGCTTAAAAAATATTTAAAATAGTTTACACTTAAACTTCGGAGCTGTACATTTTATTTCTTAATCCATTTACATAATTGCCCCGACACAACTTAAGAGATATCCATGACAAAGAAATTAAAGAAGAAATATCTTAATTACAAAAAGAGAAAAATTCAGCATCGAAAAAAACGCACTTTCGGATGATTGCAGGATAATTGCACTGGCTGTAATCCGTTGTATTGCAATCTAGAATTTGGTCTCGCGAGGGTTAATCGACTTGCATACAAAACGTGAACGATGCTGCGAGGAATTTGTCGTTTTTCTCGAGGCGTGCAGTTCGTTCTAATTTACAGGTACGCCCGCGACAATCAAAGTACCGAGAGCGCTTCGGGCGAAAGGAGGGAAATGTACTTTGCCCGCCGCTTTGTTGACGGTTCAACGGAGATTTGCTTTGGCTCCGACGACGGCGATCAATTTGGCGCGAAATTACGCTTTTCTGAGGAACACATTTTGTACATTGCACGACAATCTTTTACGTTACGCCGAGCTCGTTCAGCAAACCGTCCGTTGCTTTTTCCTCTTACGCCGGAGTATTCTGCGAATATTACTACGTTTCGCGTTGTTCCTATAACGTTTTCTCTTCACGGCATTAATATTTTTCAGTTGTAAACACATAATGAAGCGGGAAATTGCGTGCACTGACTATTCCCTCGCGATATGTAAGTGGCGATAAAATGAAAAAATTCAACTTTGAAATTGCGACTTGGAAATTTAGAAAGCGGAAGGAAATAAAGAAGAAGGCTTCAGAAAACGCAGATATGTAACCAAATTTTCTTGTTCGCTTAATTTTAAATTGACTTTAGCGTAGGAAAATTTGTATTCGAGATACCACATTTTTCAAATAATTGATTGAAATGTTTGATCTTGAGACTTAAAAAAATTGCGAAAGAATGTGACGAGACCAATCGAATTTTTGTTAAAGTAAAATTGACTGTAAATTGATCAAAGGATGCTGCACGTTTTGACTCACTAATCTTGTTATATCCGGTATACTTTAATGAATGAGTACTACAACTAGGCAATATTCGTTTATTATATTATTTCGTAGCTCGCTCGTGGAGAATTTAAATTAAAAATTAAATTTAATCATAATATGCGCGCGAATATAAACTTATCGTGGCACTATGATAAATTTGTTAAAAAACAAGAACACCTTGTGTTGTAATCATTAGCGTATCATGTATACATGTGTGCATTTTACGCATCCAAAAAATGAATAAATTTAAATTCACTTCGCATAAATTTCAATCTACCTCATGAAAAGTATCTTCATAGCGAGATTTAAAAAAATTCGATTTAATTCAGAAAGATTATTTTTCACAGTATTCCATGCATGTAAAAATATGTCTGTATGCAATCGTATTCACATATGAAGAAATGTAAATTATAACTAAAAAGATTCTGTTTAAGTGAAATAAAAAATTTAGGTTTCGTGCAAATTGGAAATGAATTAAATTTACATGTCAAAATTAAAGAAAGGATCCGATCCGAAATTATCATGGGTTTAAATTTCTGCTCGCGGCGATGTAAATTTCATGTAGAATTTCGAACATGTGGCGGTCGAATTTTCCCAAATCGTTCATCTCGACAGAGACTGGACGAGGTAAAATTTTCTGAAAAATTGAGCGCTTTCGAATCCATCGCGCGAAATGACAAATATATTAATCATGTCGAGGGATTGTCTTCCGGCTCGACTTTACCATTATAGAAGAAAATAAGATTTTCTCTCGACAACGCACTTTCCTTGCCGTGTCGGTGTCCTCATACGCGGACACTATCGTTTTACGTGAAATCAGATTCCGCCATGAAAGCAGCTTATCGTCGAGATCGGAGTGTATACGCGTGTACCTATCAAATCAATTTCATCGCGTGTAGGTGTATAAGGTGTTTCAGCTTTCCCGTTAACAACAGATCCGTTGGTGTGAGACTAAAACCGATTTTTCCTGCAGAAAAACGTGACACGAAACTCAACTATGATATCAGAAAACTATACTTAACACGTGCAAATATTTTAGCAAGATATATATTTCGAGCATATAATTATATAATTTTTTAAAGATAATTTGAAATACAATCATTCAGATAATTCAATATTAAAAATTAATACTTTTCAATAAAACAGCACAATCTTGTTTAATTTTCTTTTATTTTAGAGTTTACTTTTTATGAGTTTATTTTTTTCTCATTTTAATTGTAACTTTTCCAATATTGCAATTAGAATATCCAGTTTATACGCTTTTACAGATTGATTTTCAGCAAAAAAAGGTCAATATTTTAAACTGTACTTTCTACACTTTTCCATTATTGTATTTTCTCTTTTTTTCTATTTAAGACCTTCATAGACACATTAATTTCATATTTAATGTAAAAAATGCAAGAAAGTCTAAACTTTATAATTAAAAGTATAGCTTTACTATTATATTTCTGATTTTTCAAAGTGAAGACAAACTAATGCGACTTATCTCCATTTTTGACTCTTTTGATCGAAAGAGTTCACGAGATCATTTCACGTGCTCGGGCAAACGCATATACGTCACTGGTGCAATACATCGATGTGGCCTTAGGGAAGTTGGCTTACACGAAGGAAGTGAAGGGGTACTTTACCGGATCGTCGTTGATGGTCCAATGTAGATTGGCCTTAGGCATGGACGGCCAGGAGATGCACTTGGCAGTCACGTTCTCGCCGATGGCGTAGTGCAGGGACAGGCCTGTGATTTCCGGTCCGTTGTCCGGAGGCACTGCGAACGTAAATTTTCCGTGTGAGAACGTGGCGAAAGTTTCCCCATAAACCAGTTACTTTCCTCCGGTTAGACTCTATAAACTTTCGACTATTACTCGGAGTTCTCCACGCCCGAGCCGTTCGTTCGTTCTATCTTCGTCGAGGGAAATGGAACAAGGGGAGAAAGAGTAACACGGAGGTTTTCTCGCTTTGCAAGACGCGAGTCGCGGAAATGCGACGCGATATGAATGTTCCGGATGTGTATCAACGTTTTCCCCCTTCCGTTTCGCGAAGTGTTTTCTTACGTCACAAATTGCATTAAGCACATATTAGTAATGTGCATTGAAGGGAAAGTTAATATTTAAAAATTAAGCAAATAAGATGAATTAAATACTATAATGATAAGAATCAAGAAAATAAAATATGTGTTTAATGCAGCCACTTAAGGAATGAATCATATTGTGTGATAAACTGTATTTATTAATAATTTATAAATAGTTGAAATAGTTTTTAAAAAATTAACTTTTGAATAATAGTTGCGATAGGTTGTGAGATGTCAAGAGTAAGATGGATGACAGCAAAAAGAAAACGGTTCCAACAAGTTAATCAAGTTCAGATAGATAATTTAGTCTGTATACGTATCGATAATGAATAATAAATGCTGCGTCGAATTTTACTTTCTTGTTTTATATATCTACGTGGAAAATCTCGACTAGCGATGTGATCTAGCTTGTACTTTTTCTCGCTCGCGCTTTTTCCTAGCACGATCCGTGTGATTTGAATCCGCTTTGCTGAAACAATTTCCGGCCGACCGGCGACGAACCCGGGGTAAGTTTTGCACGTTTTCGCGACTACGTCGCTTCAGCACGGAGAGAATTAATTTTCAATTAGCTCAGGCACGTGACTTTCCTCGTTCGCGATTAAACGAGGAAGCGCATCGGTTCACGTAGAGATTTTAACGAATACTTTACAACGAATACCTTCCGTTACGATAACACACGAATCCTGTATGAACAACTGTGTATTTTCGATTTAAAGGAATGGTTACGCAGATTGAAAAATCGCAAGCAATATAATTGATACAGAAATGTTCTATATTCACTTTGTGTAATGAATAAAATTATGATAGAATCGATTAAAATGGTTACACTCACGATCACTGAAGAATTAATAAATTTTACTCGGGTTGACGCCATAGAATACCGCGATTGTTTATAGCAGAATAATAGCCAAGAGCCATAATTTTCTGGATAATTAATCGCTCGATGGAACTAATTAGATCAAACGTGATAACTGTTGTGCTTGCGAAGTAACGTGATTTGTATGGCATCATTTGCACACAAAGGTTACATAGCTTATTATTCGAACAATAACATTTAATATAATTTCACATAATATCAAAGTTATGTTTTTGACATACTGTCCATGTCCTCTTGCAAAATAACAACATTTAGGAACAATTAAAGAAAAGATGGATATCTTACATCTTTTCTCCGTCATTTGATATAATTAAATATTATAAATTTTTTTTTATCGTAATGTTAAGTTTTTTATTTCTAGCAATCTTTCTAGAGACTGTTGTAGAAATAATTTTCATCGCATTCGCTAATAGAGATTTGCCACCGCAATCGAACCTCCGATTTTTCGCGGCCCTTCCGATATGGACTGCTGCACATGTGTGTCGATCCACAATCAATTATCGGATTTATCGCTATCGGCCGTGTGTGCCGATGCGCTCGATATCTCTAATAGCGTTAATTGGCACGCCGGATTATGAGAGACATTCGCGTTCGGGCGGGCGCGACCGAATGCTCAATTAAACATTCACCCCCGTTGTCCGAGGTCGCACATTGCAGCGGCAACGTTGGTGCAGCTCTACCTCGGGATATGGTCCATTAATGCCTTCCGCCCTCGAAATATCCTGGGTGCAATTAAAACCCAGAATTTCCGGTTCAGGAATCTCCGACCGGCGCCATCGGTGTCGTCGTCGATTTCACCGTCTGTTCGTATAAAACGCGAACGAACGGAAAGTGAGAAATGTAAAAGAGCCGCAGCATCTGACAGCACCATGTGGAAGGTACGAATGTAGGAAAATTTTCGAGAGATTGCGGAATAGCGTGTTGCAAAATCGCGTTTGCGAGCATGTGTCGCCGCAGATAATTTTGCCGCGCATTAAGCTTGTAATAGCGCCGATTATTTCGTGGAGATTTCCATTTTCTTCTGTGGCATTTCGTTCTCGCTGACGACGCTCATCAATGATTCTCACACTGAATTTTATTAGACTAAGAAAAAGAACTTGCAATTATTAAAGCGAAACGGGCGACAAATATGTTGCTAAAAGATTATAATTTAATCGAATCGATATTCATATTAAGAATCATATGAATAGAAATTTTTATATGAATTAATATCATCAATTGTATTAATTAATATTGAGAAAACTGTTATAAAATCAATTGCAATGGGAAATTTTTTTAAGAATTGCAAGACAAGTAAAAAAATAAAATTAACTGTATTATTATTTATTTCATAAAGATTTCTAACTAAATTTATAGCTAGCTTTCCGCTCTTAGATCAATGATAATTCCGAATAATGGTTTTGATATATTCCGACGCGTGTATAATATAGATAATTTATTTGACATGATTTTTATTTACATGACTCAGCATACCTCACATTATTCTCGAGGTTCTTCGACTTTATTTTACATCCGCAGTGGAGGATTAAATATCTTTTTTTTTGAAGTTTCAAACATCGCGAAAGTAGCCGCATCATCGATTTTCATGAAGAATCAGAAATGACACGCTTACTCAGGGTACACGGAGTGAAATCAGAAAGGGAGAAGAGGGGGGGGGGAGAGAAGAAGAAATTTGTCAGGATTGCGGAAAGTTGGATAACCTGACGCTCTGCCAGAATTCGAGCATTCGCCATGCTAGCGCATTCGGCCGCGCGGAAAGTATTCCGCTGCAATAACTCCGCCGACAGTGATTTAAGCGCGTAATTACGAGGGTTATTGCAAGCACGACGGCGCTTTATACTTCTCTTCTCTTTTTTGTAGAATTTAATATGCATAACGGCAAAATCTTGTGCGCCGCGTTAAAAATTACTCTCCTTTTTGCTCTTCTTACACGACTTTCGATCGATTACAGATAGGCAATTAATACAATGATTTGATAACAAATAATTAATTAAGTTTGATAGAAACATCAAATTTTATAAAATTAGTAAATTATTGTAATTACATACATTATATATATATATCTTCTCTTTTAATAAACAAATAAATTTGCATGGTTTGATTTTGCGTATTCTTATGTCAACTTTTGCTTTCTTTTACAGGATGTGTTGGATTATACAGTAAAGTGGTACAACGACAAATTCTAATCGCAGCGAGCCAGAGTAAAGGACGCAGGGATTGTTGGGCGCATCGCGGTGAGTCGAAAAATCTGATTTTTTGCCAAAATTTGCTTTCTACTTCACGGCTCACATAGCAATTCTGATATTACGTCGTTCCAAATATTTTCTGGCGTAATAATTTCTGCGAGAGTTAGGTCCCTAATTGAGAGGGTTGTCGGGAGAAGATAGCCTGCTTTCATATTCCGCGGTAACTTCACGTACAAAATGAAATTGCTTTTTGAAGGCACTGCAATTTATACGGATTGCGAGCTTCGCGGCATCTCTATAAGGCATGAAATGAATATTAAACTGCAGACGATTTAATTCAATTAATTCGTCGACGTACACTACTGGAAATCTGTGTGCATGCATACGAAGAAAAATATTGGGAAATTCTATCAATGTGAGGATAATTTATTCGGTGTTGATTTGATAATTTTCATATATATAATACGCGAGATAATAGGAATGAGTCAAGATTTAAGATTGATTATCAATTTTTTTTTATTAAGCAACGCTAATATTGAACGATATGTTTGTCGCGTAATATATATGTGCATTAAAAAAATACACAGCTATAATAATATTTTTTTTCTATATAGTATTGTAATGTGTTTCTTATAGCTAGTTTGGTGGAGTAAGAGTGAAGACTAACGTCAGATTAAAAAATATACATTATCAAAATTATCGCGTAATCATTTCGAGAGCGCATATTGTGTTTCAGACGCGCGGTACGTGACACGCAACTAATTGCTGTTGAATTAGGTCTGCGAGGCGGCGCATTCCCAATAGTATATAACTCACTGACATACATTGACTTAATTAGCAATTAAAACTTTACGGGGGCATCAAGAGAAAGGGTCGCGCGTATATGATTACATGTTTCTCTTGTTTCCAATCCTATGAATTGCAGGCTTGTTAATTATCTTGATGACGATATTGATACAATACTGATTTATATCGTGAATTTAACAATTAATGACATATTATTAATTGAGATTTCATCCGCATCTGTCATATTTGCTTTAATTTAAATATTTAATCCATAATTTTTATATAAAAGTATTGGTTTTTTTTTATTAATGAAAACCGAAAAAATTTCAAGGCAACGAACTGCGTAAAATCTTTTTCTCGTGTATTCATACTCATTTATTCACATCTATATATTTGTAATATACCCGAAAGTAACTTTTTTCTTTCTTTCTTTTTGTTTATATTGAATACGTAATATTTTGCGAATTCTATATCTCGAGAATATCTATTGTGACGCGTCTCTTATCTTTCGAGTTTCGAAGTTAGCTTCTGTTTCGTGAAATTCGCGGCCAACGGTGGTTAAATTCGTATCCCCAATGCTGCATGTTGCGGCCGGTAGTTGCAGCAACTTGTTTTCCTTGCAACCCTCCTTCTCGCGTCGACATTCGGCTCGCCATTCCGCAAACTTGGCTGTAACATGCTTGTATGATCGTTGTCGAGGAAATGAATTTTCTTCAACGAGATCTTCCAGGATTCCCTTACGCTTTTTAGGTGAAATGTGTAGGTCAATGAAAGAGAGGCGAGTTGAAGGGCGGATTCCCTCAGGTTCCAAGCTTGGCTTGCTGCTATTCCATTCCCCGCGATCGTAACAATGATCGTGTAACGAGATAATAGATGGGAGGAAAAACATTACACGGCAAACCTTGTCTTTACCTTTATTGCGACATAAAATTTTCCGTTGGCTCGTATAAAAATCATCTTTTAATTTTAACAACTGCTATATGGCATCGATAATGAAATCGCGATAAATAATGCGAAGAGAATTATAACTTTCATTGTTAGGTCTTCAGTAAAAAAAAGTTCAGTAAAATATCTAATTAATTGACTCGTTTTCTGATCGATATCATTGTATAATTATTAGAGATATTAATTAGAGATTTCCTTCAAATTGGCATCGATGCGATACGTAATTGACCGGCAAGTCACGCGATATAAAGCTATGATAAGAGATGTTTAAATAGCCGAAGAAATCTCTAACCTCATGCAATCCTCACGATGTATTCATGAAGTATGTTTATAATTCACATTTATGATTCGATAGAGCCTAGAACGTTCGTTCCCCTTTAATTCTCTCTCGCAGAATTGTCCTCCCGAGTCTCATATCACGAATGATCGTAAATCAGGAAATCACATTCTCAATAGAGTTCGGGATCATCGCAATTTTCGGATATTATGTTATACTCTTAAAACTAAAAAGATAAATATTATAATATTTATTAGCCGCTAATTATTTAAGTCATTTCTTAGACATTTTTTAATTCAGATCTTATATTTGAAAAATTTTACTAATGTATATAAATAAATAAGATTAATTTAAAGAATTAATATAATATATTTTATTTATAATTTAATATTATAAGTAAAAAAATTTAGATTGATTTTTTAATTAAAAACATATAATTGATTTAAAATTTACAAAATTATAAATTTACAAATTAGGAAATATTTTTTTTTAAATATATTTTTTCGGTAAGCTACACTGGAAACCTTTTTATAAGTGATCTCTTAAAATACTATGCAAGTATAATTAATCATTCGCACTTTTCCCGCAATAAAAGTAATAAAAAGTTTCGATTATTTGTCACAATTTAATAGAAAATGACACATCGATGCGATAAGCTTTTTATCACAACAGTAGTAATGCGTCAAAAATGTCATATCATTTGAATGTACCTTTGAGATGTAGAGGTTTCTCCCTCTCAAGTGACATCAGATAAGAGGGAGATATATCCCTGGAAGAAGCCCGATGTCGTTTCTCTCTAGGTTTTTCCTTCTTTAAACGATTCCCTTTGAACGGGGTTGGCATGAATATTTATGGCCTCATGAATATTTATGATACTCTAAGGTGCATGCTGGTACACCGTTATAACATATGTGCATAGATACGTATGTACACGCATATTAGCCGGAAAATGGAAATACTTCGACGTTTTGCGAAAATGCCTAAGATTAATGTGTTCGTGTGGTATCGTATGATGCAATCGACAAAATCGCACGTCTTACGTTTGCAAAACGTTTCATACTTTTCCTTCGCGATTAGACCGGATTACTTATTTAAACGATTTATTCATAAAGCAGTAGAGAGAGCGCGCGTATAATTTATTTATAGAGAGATGAAGTAATTTATGAGAAAAGGCCAATTTTACGAGAAAGCCAGTATAACAACATCCAATACAGTATTATTTATTATTTCATCAAATATTCGAATAATATATATGATTATATTCGATTACATTTTCCCTGACACTTTTGTTTTAAGGGCAGCAATTTCTTACCAATTTTAAAATATAGAATATTACAACTATTATAGAAAACCATATCGAGTATTTTAAAAAATTTAGCTCTTCGTATAACGAAGAAATATAATTTACACAGCAATAAATAGTTTATTTATTATGTTGCAACATATATGTTAATTAATACCCGCATACAATTCCGCCAAAAGTTTCCAGGAACAGCGATAGTCATAGTTCGAACGAAATGAGAATTCTAGAAGGGAAAGTACGATGTTCTGGTACTATTATCTCCGTGATTTACTTACTCATGTTTCAGAGAGTCTACTGTTTCTGTGTGTACACGTACTATTTTCAAGCTCTAAGTAGAGAAACATATAAATTTCCTTCTCAAGTAGTTGCTGCTTGGCATTTACACCGTTCTGGTTTTCTTCTTTGTTATTCTATTCGCAGTAGATCGTATTTCATCGAAGGAATAATAATGCAAGAAAATAATTTAAGATTTCCATCAATAAGTATTAAGATATTTAAATCTATCCTGATTAAAATTAAAAAAAAATTATTTTTAATTTAACGAAGATTTAACAACTTCTTTATTCTTTACATTTAGATTCTTTTTTTAAACGTATAATAAGAAAATTAACACTTTTCGAGGAAAAAAGTTAGAGCTATTATATCAAAATTTTTAAAATAGTTTATTAATTTGACAAAAATGAAGTATTTAACTGTAATCGAAATATTTTTTTGTATGTATAACCCTTATGTGCGCGTTTTATATAACGAGAAAATATTACATTTACAGAGCACACGATTTTCCTTCTTTCAAGAGCAACTCCAAGCGTACCAATTGATTGTTCAATCATTTCAATTTCTCGGCAAGCGTTTCTCGCTTCGATGAAATTAATTTTCCCATTCCGTCCGTATCGAGAAAGCCAGTATAACAACATCCAATACAGTATTAAATATATTAGATACGCGTAGAAATTTATACTCCTTTTTTCCATGATTCTTAAAAATATAATTCTCCTACATTTGTTATAATCACAATTCTTTACTCATCTTATATTTTTTTTTATTTTACATATTTTACATAATTTATTTTATACAACAAACATTTCTAATATAATGTTCGAATTAAATAATCGTATTGCGAGACGTACTTGTTAATCATTATTACGCACGAATTACACTTGCCCGATGTGGAAATAGTAAATAATATTGACGCTGATCCCTCTGAGCGTTTCAAATCATCGGTTCTCACAGATTATTGGACGATTATCTCATATCGTGGATCTTAATATTCCAGTAGGCAATGATACAGATTCGCGTACATAGCTGTTGATTACGTTACAGACTGTCCCTTTGACCCTGCGAGAGCCGCTCTTAATCATGGAAAGCAATGTTACATGTACGATTAAATAGTTTGATCTATGTAATCGCACATATATACATGCAGATTTCCGCTTAATGCTCTTCATGAAGATATCGTATGTCTGTCATCTATTAGATATTTTACTATTAGATATTTGGCTATTAGATATTTTGCTATCTGAACATTGAAATTATTTGTATAATTAGTAAGATTAAGTGTGAAAGAATTAATCGAATTTTTTAAATTTTGATTAACTTATATCTTAAAGCTTTATTTAGAAATTTTGTGATCTCTGTGTTAATACACATGCTTTTATCTCGTCTTTTAAGAACTCTTCGTCGACGTTGAGGAAGATCACATAGATCAGATCTAGATTTTATTGCGTCAGTTGCA